CGCCGCCCCCCCCCCCCCCCCCCCCCCTTCTTCTTGTGTTCGGGGAGCAAGTGCATTTGTTCCTTGTTGAATGAAACAGGCAAATGCAGAGTTAATTGTTCCCATGGTCACTGAACTTAGGTCTATGTTTTTTATTGGTCACTGAAGTTTAAAATGTCGAATTTTGGTCACTGAACTTAGATTCATGTTTTCGATTGCTCATTGAAGCTTAAAATGTCAATTTTTGACCACTGAACTTTGAAAAATGTTTTACATTACTCACTTTGAAAATGCTGTACATTACTCACTGTATACTAAATATTTTTCAACGTTCAACAGTTATACTAGTGAGTAACGTACGATATATTTTAAAGTTCAGTAGTTAAAACTAGACATTTTAAATTTCATTGAGCAATCTAAAATATGGACCTAAGTTCAGCGAGCAATCAAAGACATTGACCTAAGTTCAGTGACTAAAACTCGACATTTTAAACTTTAGTGACCAATGGATGTAAGTTCAGTGACCATTGAAACAATTAACTTGGCAAATGCAGGTGCCAAGCATCAGTCATAAAAAGTAGTCTAACAAATTCAACATTCGGCTACTTGTATTTGTATACCGCTCTGAAGTATCTACTTGCATCCAAACTTGCTAACGATTCACACGTTCTTTGAACAGAAAATAGGCAATCGTCAATTTTAGCCACGGCCAGCATTGACAAGAAAGTAAAGCTGTGGGCAGCACCTCCGCTTCATCCCTCATAAGAAAAATTACAATTGCACTGCAGTGAACCATGGCTTGGAAGGAAGAGTGTCTCCAACATATGATAGCCTCATAGTTTTTTTGAACCCAACACATGTTACAAGCTTAACCTTCAGTCGTTTCTAACAAGAATTGTGTTGTGCGAGGATGTGGTCGGAAGAGGGCTTTTTCTTGAATACCATTACATTTTGTTTTAGTAAATTTTATATGTAGCTTGGCAATTGGCGTGATCTTTTCTTAATTCTTGAGTGCAGATGATTTGATTACATGACAGTGTCATGTCATTGCAACATGTCACTAGCTTGAACCGGGTCCAAGTTTAATAATTTGCCACCGTGAAACTTTGTCAAATCTTGGAATATGAATCTTAATACAGGTTTCGATTGCCAGATTTTATACTTCTTGGTTGGGTTAAAATTAGCAGTTGAAAATTGCATGTGCTCTGTGTGTGTGTGTGTGTTTATAAATTTGCCTGGAATGTGAGAAATGTAGGACTTGTCGAGCTTGGAACGCAACTGTCGAGCTAACACTTCCAAATATCTTAGTATATTTGATTGAATTCTCATTAAATTGCTAAATATTGTTCTTCTCGTATAAACAAATATTCCTAAAATTTAAGAGGAAATTTCACAAAATTTCCATTTTTACTTAATCATTTGCAAAAATGTCTAATTTGGAAGAATTTAGACCAAAATACCCTTATTAACAATTTACAATTTCACACTGAGACAAAAAATGGACATTTTTACAATATTGTTATTGGCCAATAAAATTGACACATAACCTACCATATTTATTTCAAAAGGTATACATGTCATATCACAATAAATGCTATGTTTTTCATTAATTCAGAAATGTCGAGAACGGCATTTTTAAATGTAGAGAAATGTTATGTTCAAAATGAATGTCATTCTAGACAAATGAAACGGTGTTTAAATGTCGAGAATGACATATAAAATGTCGAGAAACATTATTTTAATGTAACTTCTCATAGAAATTATTTCTCAAAATTCGTGACAAATTGATTAAAAAAAAATCAAATGTCAAGAATATCATTTCAAAATGTAGCTTTTCATTGAGCATAATAGACAAATTGACACTAAATTTAAATGAGTAGACACTTTTCAACTCATACTCTTAAATTGGACATTCTTAAAAATGCCCCAATTAATATTAGCGTCTCGTGAAAGTTGAAACAGGAAACGAAAAGCTGTGGAATGAAATTGAAGCAGGTAAATCGGTACTGGTAGACTGGAAGAGGTCCAAAAAAAGGCAGAAAAGGTAAAATAAGCAAAAACGCCCACCGTGGGGTTCGAACCCACGACCACAAGGTTAAGAGCCTTGCGCTCTACCGACTGAGCTAGACGGGCTTTCTGTTGACAGTTTAACATAATTAAATTAACTACATTTTTCCCGGTTTTGACTCCCTTTTTTCATATACACAATTCAATAGATCCAAAAATATTTCTATTTATTTAGAACAAACTATCTGTAAACGCTTTCCAAATATGTTATAAAAATTGACACATTTGGTAAATTGAAATGTAATTCCCCTTTTTTATTATTTTTTTATGTTATACCGACAAATTTGGGGTATTGTCAATAAGATGAGACTCATCATCCCACCATCTATAGGTATTTTTTTCCTCATCTTCTAATTCGAAACTTAATCTCAAGATTTTACTAATGTCAAATATCGTGTTAGGTTAAAGCTTAAAAATTCACCTTATAAAACAGTTTAATTTTTAAATTCAGTAAACATTTAACTGGTCAAGTTGAAAACAAACATATTACTTTAGGCCCCATTTGCTATACATTAATGTAAAAATAAGAATAAAAAATATAACCGTTACGAACCCCACACAAGAGATAAAAATTCAAATTGAATAACTTAATGTGATGGATAACGATCATATTTTTATTAGTAATGGAAGATATAATTTTAAAACAAGAGATAAAAATCTATTTTTTCATTTTAATGAGTAAAGAATGAAAAATAAACGGGTACTTGGATTGATAGTAATGGAAGATATAATTTTAAAACAAGCAATATTTTTCACTTATGAGTAAAAAAAAGTAACCTGTCTTTAACATAATTTAAAACAAAACTTGATATTAACTTTTATTTATTTTAAAGCTTAGGCAAACATGTTGAAATCTTAATTCATTGCATACACATTGGTGGTTTTTTTTTTTTTTTTTTGAATAACAGGTATGGGAATCAAGCGGTTGGGGAGAATATTCCACCTAACTCATGGCTAGTAAATGAAGTGTTCATAGATAATCTGGCTTATTTACATCTATCTACCTTTGATGGTTCTGAAGAGTACGACTTTTTGTCTTTGAAATCCTAAGAGAAACTAGGATTAGAAGAAAATGTTGCTTGGTTTCTTCCAGGCAACTGCATTACACAATTTACATAGCACTGCAAGTCTACACCTCCAAGAATTAAAACAGACACTCTTTGAAAGAGTAGGCTTGAAAAATCTGTGCAACTTTTAAGACCGAAAAATTTTCTAATCCTTTGTCTGACGTGATTCTTGTTGAACTTTTAAGTATCAAAGATTGGAGTACAGAATACATCATCAAAACGTCTGAGTGCATTTCTCGTCCGCATGTCAAAACTAGAGGCCACCAGGCTACAGAGTCAATTCTTTCAATTCTCGGCCTTTGGCTCCCTTTTAACAATAAAGCTTTTGGCATCCTCCTCAGAAATTTCACTATTTGGATAGAAAGGATATATGTACCAAGAATAAGCATTTTGATAAAAGCATGAGGTGAAAATAAGTAAAAGTTGAATGGAATGAAGAATTGCATGACAAAATTTGTAACAAGAACAGACCTGTCAGGGGCTTCTTTCTTGCTTATCAGTGTAATTTCATGTGATGCAAGATATTCACCGAAGCTTTTGAGGTCTTTCTCTTGGCAGAATTTGACGAGATGGTGCAGAAAATCATTGAACTGTTTGGGTTCCTGTTCAAGGAAGAATGTCAAATATTTGGCAGCTGTTTCAACGTTGATTGGAAAAAGAGTCAACATACTTGTACACTACAAGTTCAGAACGCATATTTCTCGTGCAAATTTTTATTTTTATTTTTATTTTTATTTTTTATTTTTTTTGGCGGGGGTGGGGGGGTGGGGGG